TTGCCTTCACCCAAACCGGGACTGTTCTCAACCAAGTGTTGAGTTCTTCGCCCTTTCTCTCGCCTAAGAAGGCAACAGGCGGTTTCAATGGGGTGTTAGGTTACCATTGACCTTGCGGCTGTCCCTGTTGAGGAACAGGTTGTTGTGGTGGTGTAGCTCCCACCACTGGACCCGAAGAAGAAAACGCAACAGTCTGTGCGGCTGCTGCAGATGTGCCACTTGGCTGTGTGTCAACTTGTACTGGAAAGGGGCCTGACATCGCCGTTAACGGCAACAGCGACTGTGCTGGTGGCCTAAATCCTGGCCTTGTCAGAACGTCCAGGATCTGGTCCAAAGTGTTCTGCATGAAGTCCAACCTGCTGTCCACGTGCGCATGCAGCGACAGCATGTTGTTCTTCAACACTTTCATGGGCTCAGACATTCCAGAATCATCCAAGCCCTCTAGCTCATCTTTGTCAGCCTCTAACATATCAAGCCTGACTGTTCTATTTTTGATTTCCCTTTCTCTGTCGGTAGCTTGTTTCAGTTCCCTCTCTAATCGTTCACGGATCCTTTCGACCTGTTGGAGCTCCCTAAGCTCCCTTTTGCGAGGAGTCAACGGGCTGAACTGCGAGCCCGCCATTTGACTTGTAGACTGACGTGATCCTACAGAACTGGAAGTACCCATGGACCCTGTTGGCATTCCAAACCGGGGTCCAAACGAGGACACGACAGAAGTTGCAGCGGAGGATGCTGCTGCAGAAGACATGGCTGCTGCTGCTGCCTGTTCCCTAGCTGCAACGTTTGCTGCCTCTCTCGATGCTGCGAGAGCGTGGGCTCTGCGTTCGACACGAATGCGTCTTTCGTCTTCCGGTTGTAGGGCCTGGAACACGTGCGGGATCCTACGTGATCTTGCACGTGTTAGTCTAGCATCGTCAACTCTCTCCCCATCGATGTCTGACCCGTTCATCAATTAGGCAAACATTATCTGCACTAGAACCCCCTAGTGGAGTCCTACCACAGCATGTGTCTGGCCGGCACCTAATTTTCTAAAAATAGTTGTGTCCGGCAGGTCCCCTACTGTACCGATCAAGTGGCATGTCTACAACATTCACAACAGATTGTCAACATAGTCTAGATGTATCTTGATGGGTTCTCTTACAGCAGCAATAGAAAGAACTGGCTATGGTAGGATACAACAGTCCTAATCTATTATGTTTGTGAGGTGTTAGCAGTCTGTCCACCAACTAATCAAGAATACAAAGAGACAATGTTACAGATGTATGATTGGTGGGTATGGTTGTGTATCCAGTTGAGCACCAATTAGAACCTACCCTCCCCTCAATCCAACATACCGGTAAGCATCATTGAGCAAGCGGTGTCTTCGTGTGTGTGTCGGCCCACCCCTGTGCCCAAGTTATTGCCGAGCAAGCCAGCCAGTCCACTCTTCTTTACCCTCGTACGGAACGAGCCTTACACCCGGTTGATCTGGCTGATCAGGAGGAATTTAAAGAGCGCCCCCATCTCTTCATGAATTATTTAACGTCGCAGTCAGGACGACGATCACAGCCAGAATCAACCAAGTCCTCAACCAGAAATGTTTATAGACGGTCTGGTAAGCGTCTCATAAAAGGCTGGCACACCCGGCAGGACTTCTATTCAGCGCAGCAAGTGCCAAAATGGACAGCAGCCATCGCATGCGTGACCTACTCCCATTGGGTTGGCATGGTGACCGTGACCCAGTGCTTCGACCAGGGCCCTTCAGAGGCACCCCCCTTTCTCCTTCCAGATGCTTCCGGGAAGATTGTCGTGTCTCAAGGTAGCGCGCTCACGACACCTCATACCCAGGGCGTGCGCCTATCAATGGCCTGACGTCACAAGAACCAACTGCGAAGAAGCATCATCAACGCACCAAGTCTGTATAACGCCAGCGTGCCAAAGGTAAGTGGCGATCAAACCAGCTCCGATACCAAATTGCAAGGAACATGAATATGGACGAAGCACAGAAATCCAGATTGCAAAATCACACTGAAGTCCAAGTAGTCAAAGCCAGAGCAGATAGCACAATGG